AAAAAAATGAAAATTTGAGTGTTTCTACACTACTGCCGTAAACTTATTGTCATCGGTGCGTTTGCGGTATCAATCATGTTGATGGATAGACCCTGCTATGTCCTAAGCTAATCGCAAATCTGGGCTTCTCAGGAAGTTCAGGGAATTTCTTAGAAAAATTAGGAAAAAGTATAACAAAAATTATCCGCCAACCTAATATACAGTGCTGGACATAATTATAGAGACACTCTAAAAAACGTCGTAATTTTCGTTCTTGTCAGTGAATCTGTCTGAAACTTTGCTGTATGGTGCGCAGGTGAGCCTACCATAACTCCTCAGAACGGCTTCCAATCCCGTTGATTTCGAACGGAGAAAAATGGAAAAATTCGAAAAAGCTTGTTTTGCAAGCTGAACATAATTATAAAGACACCCGGCCTTTTTAAACATCGCCTTCCTTGACTCCCAAATTTTTTGTAGAGTTACATCCTAGAATATGAAACTTTTGCAGCACTTAGGACCTGTCATGCTACTCAAGGAAAGACGATCCTTGCATTTTTCGTTTCCAAAGGCATCAGAAATCAAACTGCTTCAATAAACAACTGGTTTGAAGAGTTTTCAAGCCCTTGTTCATTTCAAATGATAATCATGGAGTCTACTGGTCCTTCTGGATAGATGAGATGAAGAGCGCTTTCGTAAACTTTGCGTAATCGCTGATTTTGACAGATAGACTCCAACCTCACCATAAGGTTGTCGCGCTTTTGCACCACAAAACTTGATTTTCAAGTTACAGAAAACGCTGCAATGTAGCCGCAACAATACATGTACAACAATAAACTTGTGTGTCTAGTCAGGAAAAAATTTCGGAGTTGTACATTCTGGTTCAGCCGCAGTTGTCATCCGTTGAGAGTTGAGTCGAGCACGCTGCACAATCATATCCAACACAAATCAAGAAATCGAACAGGAGACCGCTTGAAACTTCAAAATCTTGCAAATCTCAGCTACGGCACAAAATGCGACATGAAACAGAGAATAAAATAGTGAGATTTGTGATTATGTTGAATCTACTGCTCGCATAGAATTTTCGTTGAAAGTATTTCAGATCTAAATGGCAACTGCAGCACTAGAAAAAATCTAAAAGTTGTTGGAAAAGATGCATCTCCATTTAAACAATGTAATAAATCGAGTCCATCACTTCACGAACATTGAAAAATGAGTTTTGTGGTGCAAAGGCGACAACCCTATGGTGAGGTTGGAGTCTATCTGTCAAAATCAGCGATTACGCAGAGTTTACGAAAGCGCTCTTCACCTCATCTATCCAGAAGGATCAGTAGACTCCATGGTTATCATTTGAATTAAACAAGAGCTTGAAAACTCTTCAAACCAGTTGTTTATTAAAGCATTTTAACTTCTGATGCCTTAGGAAACGAAAAATGCAAAGATCATCTTTCCTTGAGTAGCATGACAGGTCCTAGGTGCTGCAAAAGTTTCATATTCTGGGATGTAACTCCACAAAAAAATTTGGGAGTCAAGGAATGCGACAATGTTTGAGAAGGCCAGGTGTCTTTATAATTATGTCCAGCTTGCAAAACAGGCTTTTTCGAATTTTTCCATTTTTCTCCGTTCGAAATCAACGGGATTGGAAGCCCTTCTGAGGATTTATGGTAGGCTTACATGCGCACCATACAGCAAAGTTTCAGACAGATTCACTGACAAGAACGAAAATTACGACGATTTCTAGAGTGTCTCTATAATTATGTCCAGCAATGTATCATTACTATAATCGAGTCATTGTCACATTCCTGTATAAGCTAAGTTCACGTTGCTTTAGGGTTTAAGATATTTCGTGCGAACGATTTCCGCACGGGCATACTCAATTACTGTTCTACATAGACGACTCTGATAAACACAGTACGACAGGGTAGTTCCCTCGAATCCTCACTGAGAGGGTATCGTGTGGATAAGCTCCCGCAAGAAGAACAAAAATATGCGACGACTTTTTAGAAAAATCACTTTGATTCCGCTTATCTGATCCTACAGAAGAAAAGAACTTGCGAAGCAGATCCAATTTTCATAATCAGCAAAATTGATAACTTTTTTGAACAGATTTTCTAAGAAATTTGGACTTTTCGATTCTTCCTCGTCCTACGCTCCTACGCTCTGGAGCTCGAAGACAGTCTTGGCTAAAGTAATGATAATCTTCAATTGGCCGAAAACTTCACTCATAGAGTTAGATATCTATTTGTAACCTACCCTCCCCCGTTTTCACCAGAAGCGAACTACAGCGATGATTGCCGTCCTAAGCACCATAAAATAAGATACCCGAATTTGTTGGCATCACAAACCCGTATATAAAAACCTACCAATTCCCCGTAGTTGTTGACCGCTGACGACGCATGAATAAGCCGAAGTTTGAGCCTTACAGTTTTGTCATACAGCACTCCATTATGAGTGCCAGCATTCAGTCAACGCAGGATTGAGTGAAGGTGGAGATGTTTTATGTAGCGATGGATGGTTCTTATGCTAGAGCTAGAGACATGATGACTAGCTGCCGCAAGGACACTTTACACAGGGTAGTCGCTGGGGTAATGGGTTCAGGGTTATGGGCCCGGGATAAATTTGGAAAGCGTCCCAATTTTTCTGGAAACCGTGGCAAACGCCGTGCATACACTTTTGTGGATAGGCATTGCTTAGGGGATTTTTTCTCGCAAATAATTTTCACAAAAAAAGAGTACAAAATCTGCAAGTGAAAGCAGTTATTTTTAGACTTACTATCGTCCGTGAAAATATCTTTAAGAGAGGGTAGTATTCTATTAGGTTGTAACAGAATTAATGCAGGTTTTTCGCACCTCTTTTCCAATATGCTGATTCACGTAGGCATGCTTTCGTTTCGAGAGTAGTGGATTCATTCCGAAATGATGTGCCTTCGAATTCAAAAGCTGAACACTAAATTATTTTCTTTTGAAACTCTGTGCTCTAAATTCACCGCGAAACATAGGAATTTTTCGCAAACTGGCATAATGTTTGCATGTGACCCTCGCTACAAAATGCAAATATCCAGAATGAGAAATCTCCTTTTAAAGGCAGTGTCCAGGCTAAACCTAACCCCCTCCGATTAGTGTCGATCCTGAATTTAGGCCCCAGAAAAGGGACATCTGCGTTGGTCCGGTCTTCTAATGTGTTTATGAGTGGAGATAAGGGGGCTGAAAGTCCCTGGCTGGGCGGAGTCTGATATCAGACTCCGCCCAGCCAGGGACTGCTCACCACCTTGTCAATACGTGCCTCCCGACACGTATTGACAAGGTAGTGAGCAGAAGCTGCACACTGCACCCTTCAACGCAACTGCACCCATGCAGTTGCAGCTCCTTCCCGCTGGCCTGCCGACGGGGACGAGCAATTCGAAACTCGTCCGCGCCCTCAAGACTGGGTCCCCAAGAATCGGGCTGTTTGTGAATTTTAGAGAGTTTGAAGTTCGGAACTGTAATCAGTGCCACGGAAAGGCCCCAAAATGACGGAAACATGGGGGGCCTAATTCTGGGTGGACGCTGTCTTTGAACCCAAACAACCGCTGCTATCATTGTGCGGCGTATAAAAATCCTAAGTACGAAGCAAATGCAGAGCTTTCGTCGTGAGCACAAAGAATAGGCACAGTGCATTTGACGGCAAAAAAAAAACGGAAGTTGTTGTGATCTTTGGCGGCGAGAAAATTTAAAATACAGCAAAAAAAGGACTTTTTCGCCTTTTCAGAGCAACTGATAAAAATGAGTGATCACAAATTTTTGCGATATTTTCTAGCAAGAATTTTTTCGCAAATTTCAAGCTTAAAGCTGCTGCACAACAGACTACTGTCTACACATTGAGTGAAATTTGTATCATTCTACTGAATTGTGCAGCAAATTATGGCCTCTCAAACTGAAGGTTTTCCAAGAGAACTTTTGGCAATCTTTAGGCTATAAAATTTTCCTCAGTGAAGCTACAACGACTTAGTAATGCGTACTGAATTCCCAAAGGTTTGCTGATTGCAGTAGTCTTTATTGGAAACGGATTGACTATTTCTGTGAAAAGATATCGTTGTCCAAACTCAAAGTTCGGAAAACCTGCATTAATTCTATTACAACCTAATAGCTTTCGATTTTTCGTGTCGCAGATAAATCACATAAGGTTTGATCTATAAACCTAGAAAAGGCTGAAAAATCAATATCCGTCTCCATTTGACTATTGTTAGAAACAAGTGTGAGAGCATTCTCCTTGTGAACATCTTCCTTTTGGTCCTAGGAAGAGAAGCGTATGAGTAAGCTTGGGTCTCACTGGAACAGATGATTTAATTTGTCCACGTATGGTAGAAGAGTTTTCACACTACTCGTAAGGGACATGTGTACCCGTAGTATTTTCGCACACTGACATCATAGGGCACTTTCCATAGGGCACTCTTGCAAAGAATTTCTGCCCATGTAATTCCCATGAAATTTGACCGAAATGAGTTGGATTTCCAGAAGAATCGTCTTTGCTGCTTTAGAGATAACACCTGGATTGATTCCTAAGTTGAGACTAAAAACTCTAGCAGCTCGGGTATTTTTTGCGACAAAAACAACGAAAGATGGGCGGTCAGCTTTCCATTGCCAGAGTGTAATTTCTTATTATGCATGACTATTTTACTCTAAAGTCCGAGGGATACAGTCAATGTCAATTACGTACTCCCTTTCGCATGGGAAGAACGCATGCGCAACGCAAGGGCCCTGCGTGTGACCTCCAATCGATAAAGCCCGTTTGAATACCTGAGTCATACGCGCGCGAACTTGGCGCGAAGCTCGTTGCGTTTACGGAAAAAGGAGCATATGATTGACATGGACGGTATGTGGAATGAGCGTATATTGATTGTCTCAACTTGACAGGTAAGCTGTAAAGTGGTGCTGTATTTCACATGTAATTCTGTTGTTAGAAATAGAAATCATGTTAAATATTGAGCTGATCTAACCACCAGAAACTCTTATCTTAGTCGGTGCCTATAATGACCACAACTGAGAGCTGCGACTTTCATTTGATTTCAACTCCGGCCTAGAAGCCAGCAGACTATCAATCAAAGTGCGGTTCCATTTAACACCAGTGTACAGATAAATAATTCTCACCAACTCTAGCTTCTCAGTTTACACAACATCGGGGAAACCCCAATAACAACATAGAAACACTTTACAAACTAGTTAGTAGGTGTTGGAGAGAAAGAAAGAAATAATAAAAAACGGGAAGAGACCTCACGGAGGTCATAATACTCACCAATCGGATGCTATACAGGTCTTAGTGTTTGGAATCATGTTCGGCGTTGATTAAAGAAACAAACGAAAAACTAAAAAAAAACACCGCACTAACACTACCCAGGGCTTTGACTTGATGATGTAAATAAAGAATTTCACAAACAACAATGTAAGCATGTAAAAAGCTGCCGGGTATAAACTACAAACAACTACTATCAGATGATGACCGAACATTAAATAGATGGTTGGAATCTCAAAATCACCGCCTATACTTCTGTCGACTGCAGCAAATTCAAAAATCTACTTGTGCAGATCCTTGCGTTAGATGATCGACAGGGCGACCCTCCTCGTAACGTCGCCACATCAGATGCAACAATGACTCCATATCCGTGCAGTACTGCTTCACGTTAAACAGTGTAGATGTAGTGCGGGCTTTCCAAACTTTTGCGCGAATTGCTGATAAACTGAAAGCTATGCATAAATTTCCGGACAGCGGACTGGCAACAAAATTGCATAAAAACAACAAATTTACAAAAATGAAAGCAGCGAGCACCAAAATCAGGTGTACGCTAAGAGAAAGTATGACTTACTAATTCTTATCCGTGCCAAGCTTTACTGCTATATTGATGTAATCCTCTCTGCTTTTGGCAACAAGCTCAGGTACTCCAAGTGCGTATAACTGAGACGATGCGACACGAGATGCCAAAGTTTCCACTAAAAACTGCCATAACTCAAAGACTATAATGGAATTTTTAACACAGCATACATGGCATTGTGACCATCGGAGTTCCCGTCCATAAAATATCCATTCCCGTAGTGTGACCGTTGCATAACGGTGTATCAAGGCATACATCAGCCAACTGACCTCGCCTCACATGTTCTTCCTGTAATAATATCTGCATATCCCACGAGAATGTAAAGAAAAAAAAAGCTTCTACGTCGGTGATGTGTAACAGTGAATAAGCAATCAACCAAATATAGTCTACAATTATTGCGAGTGTTCTTGCAGTGAAGGCAACATTTGCGCGAAATAACTCAGCTTATAGATGCTGGCAACCTGCTGGCTTATGCGTGAGAGTCGTTGTCATTGTTTATGCGCAAATGTTGTCGGCAATGCAAAAGCACTTTTTTAACCGCGCAACAACTAGATATAGATGACATCCATACAACTATTCTGCTAGATAAAAAGAGAGAAACTGAAAGTAAAATACCAACCTTAGCCGCAACATGACTAAACACCACCCGTTTAGGATCGATATCCCTCTCAGAGCAGTACTTCTGCACATTAGGCTCACCATGAAAAGGAAATCGTAACAACCATAAAACACTCCTAGGAACCTAAACAAATTGTGGTGATAAAGTACATTGCCATCCGAAAAAAATCAAATAAGGGAGATACTCACGCGTTTCAATATCTCAATCCACATATCAAGTGTGGGTGGATCAATTTTATACAACTGATTGAAGTTGCAGAAAACAATCGCATCATCTGGTAAGCTGTACTGCTGGCGGCTAGTGAGAAGTAAAGACTGTGGAACTTCTTCGCCAGTAGCCGCTTTGTGATGCATTTGGATCTGAATACATGTAAATTAGTAAGAAAGTCCAAGCTTGACATAACGGGATTGTCATACTTGAGTCAGACCGTTGTGAACATGAACGCCATCGACGACGCTGCTGGCAATCAAACCGCCACCGATCATCTGTTTGAGAGGTTCGGTTGTCGGAACCTGGAACTATGAAGGGCGAGATCTTAACAAGTCAAAAATGAATAGTATAGACAATGAAAGTCTATGAGTCCAAATTCCGAAATTGAATAGGAGACTCAGTGGAAGTTTGAGAATATATGCAAAAAAAGTGAAAAAATGCAGAGAACATTTCTGACCAACCTCAACAACGGGCACAACCACTTCTGTCTTGATCTTTTCCTTGGCAGGACCGTAAACGACTTCCGTCTCTCGTATGGTGTGCTGCAAAATTTTCATGAATACAGGGACGAGAAAGTGCCTGCCAAATGTACCTTTACATCAGCCTTGCTAAGCAACGGTTCCAGGTTGGTTGCGTTAACTACTGCAACATTGTCCTTATCTCCTGGAGCACATTTGTCCTTAACAACAAATTTTGTCATACAACGAAAAATTTCATGGATTGCCCGAATTTGACTACATGCACAGGTTCTACATTTTGATTAGAGAAAATGGCCACCTTCAAAATCACTCGCTCGGTGAGGTGTTTGAGCATCTGAGCGTGATCTCCAATGAAGAAAGTGTGAGGCATATAAGCGAGCTTAAAACGAAAGTTGACAGGTAAATTCGACATTCCACAAATGACTAAAAAATTACCTTCTCACTATATGCATGAGCTAGCCTAAGTGGAGACGTCACTGCATCGGTAATGATGTAATCCATGAAAGGCGCTCCAGAGGTACCAGGATATCCTAGCCACATGACCTTAAAATACATTGGTCGGCGCAGTTCTCAACTTGGAGTTAGTATAAGACATACTTGAATAGGTGCAGGTCGCAGTGCGAATATCTCATTGCGAGCACCTTTGGTGTAACCATTCATATTTATAAGAATGTGTATTCCATCTTGGTTGATACGATCAGCTGCCTTGCCATTACAAGCAATCTGGAATAAACAATGTGGTCAGATAGCGAAACGTTTGATCTAGGCGCTTCACTTACCTGCGAAAGATCAATGAAATGCTCTGATTCATTCATCAACTTTTGCCGGAAGTTAGTACCATCATTCGCAGATAGTGCATAGCAAAACACCTGTGATACCACTTGTTAGCTAAAGGCGTTGAGATCAGATGAATTGAGAACCAATATCAGGAACTATTACGCTTTCATCAAATCTTATCTCCATATGGTCTTATTACAAACAAACGGGTGGGGGAACGAAAGCAGCCAGTTTGGGCCGCCTCCGCGGACTGCTGGTCCTGGAACGACATGCAACAACACTGCGAAAGGACCAGTTGGCCGCGAAAGGTGACTCAAACTGGCGGCTTTCGTTCCCCTACCCCAAACAAACCCAAGTAACAAAACATTTTAGATGAACTGACTCCGCTCAAAACTAGTATTATGGCTTACCTCTATTCTAGAACGATCATGCATTCCAGGAATTGACTGCATCAGATGACTAGTCGGATGGTTGCCGAAATCTGATGATACGTATCCAATACGAAGACGAGAAACGCCATTGCGAACACTCAAACGGTCTGGATAATTGAATGGCGGATGATTGAGCATCGCCACCTGCAAGAAATTTTTGTGAAACCATCAAATCTAGCATTCTGCATTCTGAGACCTAAACTAATCTCACTTTTTCAGTGCAGAGCTGAGCATGCTTCGCAGCGATGGCAATTCGGGTCTGGTGTGTCAGCGGATACAACATGGAATGGTGTGGGTGCACGGATGGTAGACGTTTCTTACTCAGTTGGTCATCAACAATAGCTACCAGCCGTTTCATACTGAAAAAATATACTGGTAAAATAAAAATCCACCTCTACTTAGTCCTTAAGATGTAAAAGAATGGTGGAAAGCATGATATATCTTACATACTCGGGAAAACGTAGGACGGAAAAGCTTACCGGTTGTCATAGTCTGTCCAGTCACATATGATTTGCAAACAATGTGCTAGATTACAGAATGCATCGGGAAAGTCCGGTTTCAATTTGAGAGCTGTAGAGTAGCTTTGTATGGCATCAGGAATGTTTCCGGAATCCTGAAGAAATTCTTTCACTCCACCAAAAACGCCATCGCGTTCTGCCAAAATCATGAAATGAATATTTTTATTTTGATGTATCCATCCAGCTTCGTGGATAGCGTTAACTGACTAGACCATTTATGAATATGCAACGAAAATTAGAGTTGGGAGCTAATTTCACAACCAATCGCCTACTTCACTAGCAAGCTTGCGATAGTCCCTACCTATATTTACTAGTGGTAACTATCTACAGTACGAGACACGAACCTTGTGGATACTAGCTAGATTTGAATGAGCATCGGCGAATGCAGGATTGATTTGAATAGCTCGAGTGTAGCACTGCATTGCATTTGCTGCATCACCCATCTCCTTCAAGGTATTGCCCATGTTCGAATATGCATCAGCAAATGTTGGAGCGATGCGGATCGCCTCCTGAAATAAATAATGACTAGAAAATCCTCGACAATGGACAACTCCGGCATCACTGGAGATACCGTAAATGTCATAAATACTATACCTTGTAGTGCAAAATTGCCTCTTGTAATTTCCCTTGTTGTTGAAGAATAGAAGCTAGGTTACTATGTGCAGCAGCAAATTCGGGATAGATCTAAATCGGAACAATAACACATTAGTTAGTGCTTCAACTTAATTCAAACTTTTTACCTCAAGTGCCTTCAAGTACAATCTCGTTGCTTCTTCAATCTTTCCTTGTTCACGCTTGATATTGGCTAGATTATTTTGCGAGTCAGCATGAGTAGGACAAAGCTGCAAAGAATGATGATATGACATGAATTAAAAGCAAATCGCATACCCCTAGCGCTGTCATATAAGCATTTTCAGCCTCTTGTACCAATCCCTTCTCCTTCAAAGCATTTGCTAAATTGCAGTAAGCATCCGGGAAATTTGGCTGCAGTTCTATTGCCCGTCGATATGTATCAATTGCCAAGTCTATCAGACTGAAAAAAAAAACACTTCCACACTCAGATAATTATCGAAAAATCACAAAAAAAGCACGATGCTCACCCCTGTTCATAGTATACGCAAGCAAGATTTCCATGAACGACTGCATGGTTCGAAGCAAGGTTCAACGCACGTAGATACGCAGCTACAGCTCTAAAAATATCAGCTTCGGCAATCTTTTACAAAAGCTTCACAATGCGAAGAGTTGGAATAGGCATTCAAAAGTTCAACAGCAACGGTTTTCTATGTACCTGTCGAATATTCTAGCTTCCTTGAGGACATTTCCTAGGTTAATGTAGGCATCCAAAAAGTTGGGATCAAGTTGTACGGCCTATAATAAGACGTGAAAGACCCTGATCATTTTCGATAGATAACTTGCTTATTATTTCTACCAACCTTTTCAAAATGGTGGATAGCTAGCCAAATCTCGCCCTGAGCATTGAACACACATCCAAGGTTTGACCAAGCTACTGCAAATTGCGGCTGAGTCTCGATTGCTTTCAGATAACAAATCTAAGATGAGTATTTCGTTAACTGCTTTTAGCAAGAAACTTCGCAGTACCTTTGCATCTTCCAAGCGACCCATTGCCTTCAGCAAGTTACCTAGGTCGCTTCGCACACAGTAAAGTTCCTGTAATAATAAAATGCTAAACAAAATGAAGGACAAAAAATGACTTTTTTCAAATCTCACCGGATTATAATTGAGAGCACTCAAGTATGCAGCTACAGCTTGGTCGAGATCTCCTCCAGCTACAAGGGCGGCTGCCAGATTGATGTAACCGTCGATAAAATCGGGCTTAATTAGTAGAACATGAGCAATCTTATTTACATTTCGCGAAAATAAAAGAATCCCGTGAGTCCACATGGCACCAACCTTCAGCCTTACAGCATATTTGTAGTTCTCAAGTGCTTCAGCCAACTCTCCACGTTCCTTAAACACATTCCCTAGATTACTGTAAGCCTCCGCACATTGATTGTTGGCTTGGATAGCCAAAGTCGAGAATTGCTTTGACCTAAATGGAACATTCGACAGTTTGAGTACAGTAACACTACTTCTCTCCACTGAGCTCACCTCTTCTGTTTCTGCTGCTAACAATGCAAAGCTTGCAGAATACAGAACAACGAATAGAATTTTGCAGCGAATACCTATTTTTTTTCATACGTTTTCTACGGAGCTTTACAGAAAGCTTGCTCAAGACAGTCGATTAACGCTAACATTAGAGGGTGCAAGAGCATCGTGTTGATTAGAATGTACTACTATCTCGAATCAGAATACAATTTATGGTACGAGATCTTACTTTTCGAGATTCTTCAACTGGAAATGAATGGAGGAAAGAAGAAGAAGCACGCTGACATTAGTGCGATCCTGCTGATAGATCATGAGACAATGCCGCTCTGCATTTGCATAGTCTCCGGCTTGATAAAGACGATGAGCCTTTTCTGTGATGGCTGAAAAATCAGATGTAGAGAAAGCAAAACATAAAAAAAAGTGAAAAATGAAAAAAAAAATAATGAAACCAAAGAGACACCTTTTTTGACAACAACATTATTTGAAAAATCCATAAAAAATGTGGAATCTGGCGGAAGACACTATGCTTATGCACAACATTGTGTACTATGTTGATGCCTATTTATCCTATACCTTCTCCCTTCCAAATTACGTGATCACGTCAGATCACGCAACACTACTGGAGAGGACAGCATGGGATTCGAACCAATGACATGCAATCCCAAACTGCGGCTACTGCCACTGCGCCAACCAAACCTGCTACACACCTGCTACATCCAGTGGGCCAAGTTGAGGCGTTCCCTGTGCGGTTCCAGGCGAGTTTTGTAGGAATGTGACATTCTGAGCTTGCTGGAACAATGGATTTTGCATCTAAAATTGAGTTAATTGTATCAAATACAGCTTTTGCAATCTCTTCAATACCGATAGCTATTTTGGGAAAAGGTGGATATAAATTTTAGCCTACAACCTCCAATCGCTGAGATACATGATTCTGATGATAATGCACAAATGAGCTTTGCGTGTTTCACCGAGACCGCATGAACAAAATTTTGAACTACAATATGTAAAAAACACAAAAAAAAGAAGAACCTTTTGTATGGCAGCAACCATGTTGTTGAGATGATGCCCTTGGAGTGACGAAAGGCCATGAGCAGATGGCGCCAAACCTGCTGCCAAGACAGGTTGCTGAGGAACAGCGCCTGGAGCAAGCTGCTCCCCGGTAGCACCAACAAACTGAAAAATGATGGATGGATGTCGAATGACACTTCAGCAATTTCTATTGTGCGGCTATCTAATCTATCTCTATCTATCTATCTAATCTATCTGATATACAAAGATCTCTGATACAAAGACCTCTAATAAATCATCAAATCGCGGGAAACCGCGGTGCGGTCCCGAAGCGCGGATGCAATTTAGCCCTTCATACTGGTTCACTAGTCAGAATAAAGCTTCGCATGAGAAGCGGTTTTGCAAATTTTCAAGATTTTACATCTCGATTACTGTCGCATTACGAAACCCGTTGATCAGAATCATTGTCGCGAGGAGGTTTAATGCAGAAGTGCTGCCTATTGTCGACTTCCCAACTTTGGCGAGGCGGATCCGTGATGATCAACAAAGATCAATGGATCAGGTGTGCCCAGGGTTGAGCGTGGGGTCAGGCGCGCCCGACCTGGGGGGTCGTACTGGGGTAAGACAGAGGGGGGGGGGGTCGTGATTAGGAATCGAATTCGTTCGATTGAGGAGATACTACGATTAAGGTGAAGAAGAAAAGCGCTAGTTTAGTGGATATCGCGACCTCACCAGTACTGAAGGAATGAACGGTCTTAAACAGCATACTGATTGATTTCACAATCGAGTTTCGGCCAAAACTCAAATCTTCATCTTCTACCTTGACATATTATAAATTCATTAAGGAAGCTTGCTGTGTGAAATGGGTATCATTTCCGAGCACGTCAAATTACCTCTATGAGCCCTACAAACCATTATTTACTTCATTATCTAGTGTTTCTCAACGACTAAAAAGCGTGATTTTCAAACATGATTAACTTGTTTTCAAAAGTGAGAAAAGTCAATTTTTTTGTACTCGTAACAAAGTATTGTTCCCCACTAGTCTAGGCTAAAAATCGCGCTTTGTATCGCTTGCAAATAGTGGAGTAAGAAATAATGCCAAAATTCCGACCGGCGCGTTTTTCTCGATGACTGCTTCAACTCCACGGATTACCACAAGGCCGAAACAAGTCGAATCAAGTCCAAACACTTACTGTGGAATCTTCGAGGGTTGTGCTAGCGATTCACATAAAACTTAAATAAAAAAGCTTCTTCAATGATAAAGTTAATCGGGTCAGGCGCAACCCCACAAAAGGTCAGGCCGCCTGAGCTTTTGAGGGGTTGCGCCTGACCCGATTAACTTGTTTTCAAAATCTAAAAATCGCTCCATTTCTGCTATGAGTATTGAACTCAAAGCCTCTTCTTGCAATACTGCAAATTTGGAGCCAAACAATACACCCCTGTGGGAATTATAGCTCTAAAAGTAGGGCTATCCAAAATCCAAAACTTGCCGTCAAGTTGCGTGTGGTGTGCAATCGCAGAAAGTCGACCTACAGACCTCCAAAAAACAAGAACCTCCCAAAAACGGCTGATCTCTTCGAATTATCACAGCCTGAGGTCCTGGAGCTGAAGCAGAGGAGTCGTTTAGGGGCTTTCACTGGGGGGGGGGGGTCGTTTTGGAAAGACTTGTGCCTGACCTCTTGCTCAACCCTGGGTATGCCTGAGCACAGGGTAACCGCAACGCAAGAGCCGCTAGCGCAGCTCCGCCTCGCCGAAGCTGAGGAGCGGGTGGAGGACATTAGGTCGCCGAGGGTAGAGGACTATATGTCGCCGAAATAGGGCGGTCCATGCGGTCATTTGCGACAAATACGCACCCTTGTACATGCGCGGACATGCGTTCCTGCAGGGAATCCGCTCGGGACTCTTCCAAATTCGGCGACATATAGTCCTCCACCCGGTCGCCGAATTCGGAAGAGTCCCGCGCGGATTCCCTGCAGGAACGCATGTCCGCGTATGTACAAGGGTGCGTATTTGTCGCAAATGACCGCGGGGACCGCCCTCTTTCGGCGACCTAATGTCCTCCACCCCTGAGGAGCCGCTCATACATAACGTCAATTTTGACATACTGTAGTTACGTGATGAATTTGCGGTCATCCTGATCCCAAACTTGATTAACAACGGCAGCAATTATGCGCAGGAGAATTGCAGAATTTTTTGCTCATGCAGAGTGACCACCATAAACGGTGGAAAAGGGAGAAAGTGTGGCGTTAGTGAGAAATACAGAGGGTTCACAGAGTCAAAAAGCCGAATCTACCATCCTGTCCAGCCTTTATGATAGTAATCCATATCAGGAAACAAATAAGGCAGCGTTCAGGCAAACCTGGACCTGTGAGGATTTTACGTGAAAAGTAATTTTGAGGCCCTCATTGAGGCACTGTCCAACTGGCAGCTCAGGCAGTGCTCCAACGGCTGGGGTATTTCTCTCGGAACTGGACCCCAGGATCGATTCCGCATGGTCATGGCGCAACGCGTGGGTCCTCGCGCGTTGCTGACCCATGCTGACGATCCTGGGGCCCAATTTCGAAAGGAATATCTCAGCCGTTAGGCACTACCTGAGCTGCCAGTTGGTCAGTGCCTTATTTAGGGCCCCATAATTACTATCCACATGAGATCCCATATATCCAAATTTTATTGGACGCTGTCTTTGAAATCGGTGCTCTCTTCGCGTGATTTGAAGCACAAAACATTCACAAGCAAAGGATCCCAAATCGCCCCGGCCAACCCGGGCTGAGGCCTCTAAACATGCGGTCCTTGTCTACGAGTTATACAGAAAAGGACGACATGGTGTCGCCTGGTGTGGTTTACTGCATTTTTTGCAGAATTTAGCTCGTAAATGGCTTTGGAGCACTAAAGTCTAAAATTTCTGATGATTTTGATGCAAGCTAGAAGTTCTAGAAACCAAAGTAATAGTAGGTATTGAAATCTCCATTCAAGTACTTACCACTATGACAGTCGCTATCATTTTGTGGTTCTATATAGCTCGTAGATGAGGATCGAAATGTTGAGGGAGCCTCTACCCTGGAGGAAAACACCTTCCTCCCCCCCCCCCCCCCCCCATAACTCCCTCCACAGAACCGCTCCTAAGCTAGAAACCCACAGATCTGGAGTAAACGTTTCAGGCGTATTGGATGAGAGATGCCTCATCCGGATTGGCCGGGGCGACTTAGGATCGTTTCACTTCTATTAACACCTACTTCCAATACAATCGGACAAGGCTCTCATATTGTCATCGAAGCTCCTCAGTAAACGCGCCGACATTCCTGCTTTAGATTAGAGCGTATCATCTTTTTAGAAAAAGATAATTCATGGTTTTGTTGAAAGCGCGCACCACCACCGCTACCGCTATGTGATAACACTTCGTTTACAATATTAGCTCTAATGGCCCCATTCCTTTTCTATTACTTACTGAACGCTAATCTTGAGATTAATTAACAAGCGAAATCTAAAACTAAAAAAAAATAGATTAGCTGAAGAGACTAAGCAATCAACATCGATATGTTCTATTAAATGGAAATGCATGTAAAATATTGCGTTGGCGCAAGTTTGAGTCCTTTTAATTGCATTTCCAAGACACACTTTCTGGAGAAACATAATCCTCCTGCTCTTCACCGCAAAAGCAGAATTTGAATAGATAACTGTTAAAAATTCAAAATTCTTAATCACTGTTTCCGCCAAACCCTATTAGTTCAAAATTCACAGTTTTTGCTGTATATCTACCTGAACAAAGCACTCCAGCTGCTAGACCATGGCACATCTGACTACTAAAACAGCATTTGATGTCCTACACGAGGATGAATGTTCCACATTCAACCGATACGTACAAATAATTTGAAAAAGCTGTATGATGAAGGTCTCAAGCGTATACGTGTTATATGAAAGTAATAGCTACCCAATTTCAAATGCATCATGCGCTTGACGAGGAAAGCAGCTTAAAACAAAAGATGCGAAAAGTTGATAAGGTTTAAAGTCACTTAGCCTTATCAGGTGATGAATCACATACATAAACGCTCAACTTTTTCTAAACTCAAATCAGCTTATGGCAATATAGATAGCGCTTGTTAAGTGTGGATCAATGGAATCGTGCACTCTAAAGCCACACTTAGCCACTTTCTTGCAAGTAGGCGATGTTCGGTTCAAGAAAAAAAAAGCAAACTCACTTTGTTCAGAGATTGTTGTATCAGGAATGCCTGCTTAGATGGATCCATCGAAGATGCATTCACAGGCGGTCGGCTAGAACATTAACATTTAGAGAATTCAAGGGAAAGTAACTGCAGGACGAAATTCAGCAAGTATATATGACATAAACAGATACAATTAAGTATGGTCAGCTGTGGATTTTGATGCTAAATAAAAAATTTTGTGCCAAAAAGAACATCCGGCACCAGTCGTCAACGGCCAAATTCACAAGTTCGAAAAAGTAAATTACTTGAGAGACACATGGGCGATGAACAGTAATTCGCCATAACGTGAGAAAAAAGCAGAGGGACTGAGGAAATTCAACATATACAGTACCACAAGCTCGGACGTCTGCGCAGTCTGGAGGACGACATGAAAAAATCAAATTAAGCGAGATGAGCAAGCAATAGCTTTCGTAAATTGAAAGAACTAGAACGTTCGGATTTCAACAGCGTCCTTACTCGCAAGATCTCGTACTTTGCGCCCCTTCTTCCCCATCCCCCCCCCCCCTTATAGACGAGTATAAGACTTTGCAGTGATTTATTTTTACAAGCAAATGGTTAAATGCTTATAATTGGATTCAACTTAGCTTTGTACTATAAATGATGATTTGGGGATGTGGCCGAAGTCTTTTTTTTTCAATAATTCAAGAAAACTAGAAAACTAAGAATTAGGAAGGTATTCTAGAAAATTCTCGGAATGAGATGCGCTGGAAGGAAACGCTGCCATTCCAACACGTTAGTTCTTAGCCATGCATCTAGATTGCAGATATTCTGCAAGCTTCTATGTTGACTGAGTTGGAAAAATTCTCGGCAAGCCCCAGAGGATAAGGCAATAGATTGTCAGTTAAAGAAGTAAATTATGGCAGTTCTTTGTGCTCAGTGCCCAGCGGAGGAGTGTGGCGATGGTGCTTGTCACGCCGAACGCTTTGTGATATACATATTTTTGTAACAGTGAAGTTCGCAATTATTTTTAAAAATAAAATGGAGGATGATTTATGACCAAATGAGCTTTTTTATACATTTCTTACATGTGTTGTAGGCTTCGCCGCCCCACCGAAAAACGTATTCCACAGCGAATAGTTGGTTCAAAAAATAACAAAATTACTCTGTTTCAAACAAAAAACTGCAAAAAATGGGTTGGGAGGGGCACACAGAAAGGTTTATTTGGAAGACTATTTCAATTACCTTATATGTGCACGTGCCAAAGAATCTGCCAAATCCATGATACGAGCACTGGCAGGCTGGGAAGTGAAGTATACACTAGAACCGACTTCAACACTGATTTCAGATCTGCTCTCCTTATCTGTCATGACTCTTACTTTAGAAGAAGTTATATAGCGTCTATAACTGTGAATTGATTGGGGTCCGGATCAATAATGTACAACAAAAGTAAGCCCGAAAGCGCTCAGTTTCAATGGTATTGAGTACTTGACTAAAAGGAAAAGTATCCCCACTAGAAAGCCTACTGTTTGTTCAAACCGCTCGTCAAACTTTTGTCACTAAACACTTGAGAGCTCGGATTTCGAACGCCTATTACTTTCCAAAAAAATGCAGAATAAAGAAATCAGATCCATCAGCACCGAAGGCGCTTTTGGAGATATGCATTTCTTCTTAAATTGCCAGTGACTTGGTACTCTTTCCTTATAACACATTTCATGGAGGTTCATCATGAATCGTGGCCTGAACGACTAGCAAAATTATACCTAAGTCAAAATGTAGAACTTAAGCTTTGCAATTTTTTTCTCAAAAACACGCTTTATAACTAAGAGAATTTTTTATCTTACCTACATCTATGTCCCTCCCTCATAAGGATATATAACCGCGTCTAGCTGAATTTGTTTCAGAAAAAACAAAACGAATTGACTGTATAGTGGTATGTGGAGAAATTAAATCTGACAGTGACACAAAAAATCGAACATGATTTCCATGATCTCATACTCTCTTTATATCTACTAATGTTTTTTTTCTTTGTTAATTTTTCTTCCCTTTCACCCTTGAGCTTCTACATAGTTTGCTAATCTGTTATACAGTGCAAAGGAACATCAATCGAAGAATAGCAAAGTGAATAATTTCTTACATAGCTATCTAATCAACAAGTGAGTCTTTTTAGATTTTTTCTTTTTTCTCTTTTCGTCTTTATGTGATACTAGTTTACGATCTTCCTTCAATATTGATGAGTTCCGGAAGATGTATAATTTGCCTATTTTCTATAGTGAGTAGGAACGAAACGGAAAAGGTATACTATATTATTTTTTGCTTTTGGTTGTGGTAGCTACAGAGGATACAGTCCTCACAAATTCGAATTTCCCACAAAATTGAAAAACAGACTCCTTTGAAGTCAGAGTTAGACATCCTAAGCTAATTCCTACATAATGTGAATCCTGAAATAGAACTGCGAATACATTCAAGAAATTAGATGACTGAGCAAGATTTCATTATCTCATTATTGCCGTCATATAAATAATCTAAAAAAAAACAAATAAAACTTCCGCCTGATACATCATCGCACATCGTTCCATTGTGAGCTTCGCTTTCGTAGCTCTTTGGAGCATCTATGCAAGCGAATTTTTCATATTATTTTTTTGAATGCAATCGTATTCAAAAAAACGCAGAACTCTCATAGTTCCAAGCTGGTTTACACTGTAGGTAAAAAAGCTCACTCAACGTTCTTGATTAAAATTTCTTCTGTATTTGGCAAGAAAGCAAATTACATCAGTTTCTTTGATTTCAAACGATTCCCATAACCTCTCGACTCTTCAAAACTCGGTTTGTTGACGCAATGCAACCGCGACGTACCAAATTTTGCAGTGACGTCGCTGAAATCTGATCAAGATGGAGCTTTACGGGCACGAGAATAGGGTGATGGGGGAGAAAATATTTCCAACATATAAAGAGAAAGCAAATCGCAAAAAATACCTATGAGGTCATTCATATTTGAGGATAATGTAGCGCACAGTTATTTGGAGTAAAGTCATTTCTTCAATGAAAAGATAAAGGCAATAACAGGGTTTTTTTTTACAAAACAAGCAAATATTCCCATGGAAAAGGAAAGTTGAGAATGACAAATGAATGTGAATAAGCTAGAAAATTATGGTTTATAAAGAGAAGTAAAAAGATGTAGAATGACTGGAGATGTCATTGACTAATACGGAGGCTAGCGATGCATGATCCGGAAAGATTATCAGTGCGTTCACAGAGCTTAGAGCTGATTCATAATCAAGAAGGTGCAAAACTCATGCCAGTCAGTTCAAGCATTATGCTCACCCAACTAAAGCGCAAAAAAAATGCAAAGGCGAAGAATGAATGTCACATAAAAAACCAGAGCATAATAACTGGAAGGCATAAGGTAAGTAAGTAAGTAAGTATAAGTAAGTACAGGGTGTCCCAACAACTGTTTGATTGTTAATAACTCCCTTGCTTTTATGTCTTTCGCCGAGCTTGAGACACCATTCTATAGAGCGAGGTTCAACTTAGATTTGTAGTATGGAGCGAGTCACCGGCCGCTGTTCGTTACTGTAGGATTACGGTAGAAACTTCGACAAGGATTTTAGGCCATTGGAGGCCTTAATCTGCCTCGAAACAAAACCAAACAAACCAAAAACTTTTATACTATAATAATGGAAGCCTCTGATTTCATATATGAAATTTCTACTATACTGTGATGCTTCTTTCCAAGCTTATCCCAGATGAACCGTAATAACTGAATTTCCACCATTTGCACGGAAATCTGATTACACCGTTAAAACAGCCAAAAACACTCGTAAAAAGTTGCGTAGTGGAATCAGCGTGCGTGAAAACCCTAGTACACGATTTTTCAGATTTTTTGAAAAAAATTTTGTCAAGTGGCATCTTTCACAATGGATCCACATGCTAGAAGTTCGTACCGTAATCCTACAGTAACGAAGAGCGATCGGTGATTCGCTCCATACTACAAATCTAAGTTAAACCTCGCTCTACAAAATAGTTTTTTAACCTCGACGAAAGACATGAAAGCAACGGAGTTATTAACGATCAAACAGTGTTCACATTTTTTTGGGACACCCTGTATATTTGCCTTGCAAGAAGACCCTTCCCGAATTTGTGCCGAAATTGTACAAAGAGGGTTGGTTGCGTCGTATAAACTTCACAAGGACAACAATTTGCATATGCTAAGACGGGGTAAGGTCAAAGAGGTTGGCCAAAACAAAAAGTAATGAAATTGTACAGTAGCGGCGTCCAAGGAATTTGTTCGGAGGAGGTCGATAATGAAAAATTTCTTTTGGCTTTACAAAATTTTTAAGAGGTTATAACCCCGAAGTTTTAAAAAAGCTTCCGAAAATTCATAAAGATAATATAATCTCAAAAGCCTACGAAAATCATAAAGGTAATCTGAATTGTTAAAAGAGGAGATAGTATCTTGTAACTTCGCCATTTTGTAACCTACTGGGCCCTTTGTAGAAAACGATCCGTTTGGAGCCCACCGCAGTTCGACCAATCTTGAAAACCAATTTTCTACAAGAACTCTATATCAAACAGTTGCTAGAGATTAAGTGAGATCAAAAGCTTTCCGCGTGAGGTCTCGGTTACCCATAGTTGCAAAGCGGCTAAAGTGCTTGCCGCAAAAGTGTGTAGCTCAATGATTGAAGCTTCGCGAAATCAAATCAGAACGCGCACACCAATGATCGGAATAATTAGATATTTAGAACTTTGACCACATGGAAAAGAAGAGAAAATCATAATAAATTTTTTTTCATTTTCGTAGCATATGAGGCGCAGGAGAATAATGAGTGTGCAGGTAAACTTGTCAAATGGTGGATGACTAGAACGATTTCCAATTTTTGTTTTAACTGCACGAAATTGAAGGTTCGGAAAGTATCGGATTCACAAGCATGCCAGAAATTCGAAAAAGAAAGTGTCAGACGCATCCCAAAATTTTTCGAAAGTGACGTAATGACGTGGGTGACGCCATTCACCTTCATTCCAAAAAATTGACAGGTCAAATTTCATGGATTTTTCTTGTCACTTTTCGCAAAGAAGTGTGGCGAAAGTCACGCCTTTCAAAAATTCTTCAAATGCATCTAGCAATTTTCCCAAATTTTTAGCAGGCTTGTGAGTCTTAATTCAAAGAGTTTCTTGAGATTTTTCGAGATCAAAGGTGCGAAGTACGAAATTAGGGACGCGAAAGAATTTGAAATTACTTGTCGTCGAGTGTTTGTAAATTAATATGCGTATTGCACACTATACGCGCCACACGACGATTTGTAAACATAGAACCTACTCAACACTAATTTCTCCTTGTTTCCCTCTCTTTTGGTCTAATTGGATATGTATTCTAGTATTATACACCGCTACAGTTTGTTACCCTAGGGTTTTGCTGAAAATGTTGTCGTTTGCCGCGCATACTGTGCAAACTCACACATCAAGTAAATAACGAATACTTCCACAAGCAGAAACGGCAAGTCTTTGTTGCTTCCTGCCCATCCTCCTAAGTCATAAACTCGGGGTCTCAATTTTTTTGTCGAAATAACATTGTCCGAAACCCTCGCGCTCATTTACTGCAAACGCAGACGTGAGGGGGGGGGGGAAGGAACCTGCTGCGCAACGAAAACAAGAAGCGCAGTTCGTCGCCGAAGATCACACCAATCTGGACGGCAGCAAAGAAAATCGCGCAGGGACAAGCAAACGCTCCGTCAACAACATAAATCCCAGAGAGCGAGATTTTGTACACATAACGAACGTTTGAGGTTGACTATAATTGTGACGGCGACCTCATAACATATTTATTGAACGAAGAGTCAATGAGGGAATGCGAAATATTCAAAGGAGTTTATTTTTGGACATTATAAGTTTTTGTGAATAAAGAACTTCGAGAATGCAGAAGTGTCAAAATCAGAATGTGTCAGTAGCAATTTTCCACAAAATCCCAAAAGTTCTTCACATTTTTTTCATTTTTGCTTTCTCGTAGAAAATGTTGCCAAAATAACTGTCAGATGCCCCTTTATTTAAGAAACTGCAGAGATAGAATCCATACAAGGAGCTGTATAGCTTCAAGGGTGCACTTTTTCAGAGGAAAACAAGGCAAACAGCGTCTCAAAGATGACGTGACTAGAAAACAACGATGGTGCAGAAGGTACTTGGCAGATGTTGATTGTTATGAGGAAGTACAAAGAAAGAAAAAATGAGGAAAAAGAAGGGGACGAAACTTAGAAATGCGTGACAGGAAAACACAGTACCCCCATAATTC